GGGGGGGTAATTCCCCGGTGCGCCCCCCTCATGCCTGGATGTGAGTTTGGCAAAAAGCGTAGCGTCCCGGCTTGGATCAACCGCTTATTCTCTTAATATTCTTTGATTTCGAGGTCGTGGCTTTTCTCTATTGGGGTGCCTTACCTTTACTGGTGGAGCCCCAACCAGAGACTGCGCCGTTCCACAGCCAGAAGCTTTGAGTGGCTTGCTTTGCAGACGGGAGCCGAATAGGAGCAACGAACTCTGGAGAAAGTTAGAGTGACGTTACACGCTTCTACTCAGGATAAAGCTCAACAGAAGTTCGTCCCCTTTACCGCTCTCGTCGACGCTGGCCACCAGTTCGAGAAGTGCGATGTCGTTCTCTCCAGTCGCCGCGTTGTACGACTCGTGAATATTCTTGTTCTTGATCGTGTGAGTGACGCGGGTGTCCTCGACGTCTACCTTCAGATCGAATGCGCCAAACGTGACCTGGTAGTTGACACTGTAAACAAGAGGCCCGCGTGTGAGGGCAGGGAAGTCCCCGCACGTCCACCCCTTAGGGATCATACAGACAGTACGCCCGTAATTCGCCGTTTCGAACCCGCAAAGTTTAGCCTCTGCAAGCTCTCATATCGCCTGATAGGTAGGCAATATCTTGCCTGCGATGCACAAGGGTACTGCGGGTTGGCCTACCCTGATCCTTGCAGGCGCCTGGCCCCCGGAACTTGCCGGAATGCATCTGAGAAAAACGGACGTACTCTCTGGACGATCCCTAGGACTCTGGCCCCTGCTTGGCAGCTCACTGTGGGTTGCTGAGGCAGGAGGCGGCGGTAAGGACCCATCTGGAGTCGATGAGGGCGCCAGCGCACACGTTGTCGAGGTCCGGGAGACCAGTGGCTTGGTCAACGGCGCCGATCAGTGCCTGGTAGGGGAACTGGCCGGGCAGGGCCATCTTGCCTCCAGAGATCTGGAGGCTGATGTCGGCCGCCGGGGAGCCCCGGACCAGCAGGACGAGCAGCAGCGCGCAGAGGACGTTCATCTCGACGAGTGGAAACGCCGTAATGCGGGGAGCCAACCGCACGGCTGACCGCTGGGCTGGGCTCTGGCACCCAATCTTATCGGCCTCGAGACACTTGTTACAAATGGGCGATAATCGCCCTTAATTAAAATGTAAGTGTCGGAGTGGTGATTGTGTTCTCGAGAGCGACGTTTTCGCATGTTGGCGGAATGGGGCGGAATGGGCGGAAAGGGGATACCCTTCAATAGGTGAATCAAGAAAGTAGAAAGGACACAAATAACAGCCATATGACATTTATTCTTTTCGACCTTGGAGGTGCTGGACACTTGGCATTTATAAGACTGTCAAAGTGATCAAAGTTGCTCTTCTCTTGACACCAATAAAAGATTCATTGCCTTGTTCACCCTCAAGTACAAGAAAAGAGCAATTGATTACAAATATTGAAATAAAAACCAAGTTACAGAGGATTAATTGTAAAAAAAATGAAACAAGCTAAAACAGTTATAAAGTTCCACTTTCTGGTCTATCAGTCGCTTGGTAACGGTAAGATTATAAATTAAGTAAGAAAGTTTAACTTTTGAGGACTATGTACATTTACAGT